GACGTGTTTCCTGGTTTTATACCTTTGATCAAAACGTATTTAAACAATGTTGAAGTTGATATTGCTACTAGATGTAGTATTACAGAATATTTGAATCTCATAAGCAAAAGAGCTTCAGGTAACCGTTTCGTTAGTTTTTTAATTATTCAACTCGAATAGCAAATAAACTACAATTCTTTCCATTTTTAATCCTCTAACTACAGGAAGACCCGAAAAAACAAAACCCAGATTGAAACGTTGTTCAATAACATAACTTTCGTGCGAAGCGTCCTAGATTACTGAAACTTTAGGTATAATCATACACGAACAGAAGTTAAATGAATGTGTTAAATGAATTTTCTACATTTTCGTGGAAGAAATTATGAAATGTATGGGTTTTGTTTTTGGGGTCACCCTGTAGTTCTGGAAATGACATGTTTTAGGCGAAAAATCAATCACTTCAATCACTAATTTAATCTCTTTATTATGATAAGGCACCAAATAAAGTTTTTTTTTTATTTCGTTAGGTGAATATCTAACTACTGCTCAATGGATGAGAGATTTCGTTCTTTCGCATGATGAATACAAAAAAGATTCGGTTGTGACCGATGGTATTAGCTACGATCTTCTGTGGAAGTGTGACCAGATTGCAAAAGGTGAGGTCGAAGACACAAAACTTTTTTGCAAGCCGAAAAACAAGAGCAGCTACTCTATGCCCCCTGGAACTCGACGTCACAACACTCCCAAATCTCATATGGTCAACGGCAATTCCAATGGAGTTTAAAATTTTTGATAATTAATCACAATCTGAAGGACTACTAGCAATTTTAACCTTTTTTGCACTATATTTACTGATTTTGGTTTATATTCAGTTTCATTCATATTCCTGCTGTCATGTGAGTTGATAATATATGTCAACACTGGTATAATATTATAAATATAATTGGGGCCAAAAAGTATCTGGGGATGAACTGAATTTGAAGTATTTAAAATTGAATCAATAATGCAATTGTGTGTTTCGAAAAAAAATTTTCTTCTCCGTAACATATTTTCATATCTTGTATGTATGGCTTATGGACAAAAACGTGGATACCATGTTTTCTTTATGAGGCATAATATTGATCACACTATTTTATAAAATATTGGTACATGTTGTATTCTTCATAATGTATTTAATAGTTTGCTTATTATTAATTCGAATTTTAGAATATCCTAGTTGTCGTTCACATAATTGCACGCTCACATTTTGGCAAACCTCCTAATGTTGTATTTAGACTTAGTGATGCCAGAATGCCATCTTATCCTTTTGAAACGAAGGGGAATCCCATTTAACCTCTGTGCCCAGGATATCATTCATCAATTCCTACCTGGCCCTTTGGTAAAGAATGGCTTCATTATGCTGTTACAATCCAATTCAGATATTTTAATTGTTTCATTACCTGAACAATGAAGATATGCCAATACATCAAAGGAAAAAATTATCATCAAGTTGTTCAATTCCCCTTTAAAAATTTCTGTCTTATTGCTGAATGTTGTAAATTTCTATTATTCAAATTAACCTATAGATTTTTTTAATTGTTGTCGAGGTTTATAGAAATTGTGTAATTTTATTAAGTAATTTTTAAATACAATTATCTGAGTTTCCTTTACTTTGAGAACAATGTTGCAAATTTTTTTCCATATAAAACATTGCGGGTAATTTAGACCATATTTTTTGAAACTGTGGTAGTCTATCCAATATATGGAAGATACTTGGAATTATTGATGTGAAACAACAGCATTCAAATTTGTTTCTTTAACACTGCTTTATTTCTTTGAGAGGTATCAAATTTCTGTGTTAAAGGTTTTGTTTAGTATGTATACAAAAATACACCATTTAAAAATCTATTCGGTTTCGCTTATGTGGATTATACCTGCCTCTCGCAAAGTTGGAGAAGTTCAGCTTGAATAAGATTTCAGCTGTTCATGGGCTAACTCCCTGTTTGCTTCAGTGATATAATAATGTAATTCTTCTTTTATTTCCATAGCAAAGGTGTTCAGTCAGTGGAAAGATTTTGGTCTTAACTTGTATTCTTGGTTATTTTCTGCCCTTTTTCTCACAGTTGCCATTTTTTGTTCATGAAAAATATTTGTCCAATTATATAATATATCTTGCTTGTTATTCATAATTACTCGTATACCTCAGACTATGTCCCATGTACAGTGACAATTGAGCTAAAGGTATTTATACCCAGAAATTCTAGTAAGATAAGAATATAGATTTATATTTAAATATGCATCATTTTTAAATACAATCAGAAAATCGTTTTCTTATACAATTGTATATGAATAGTGAAAACATTCTCATATGAATTATGGATCAAATTTATTTTGTGAAAAAAATTTCCAATTTTATAAATTAGCACAAATAGGATAATTTGATTTATTACATAAAAAATTGCGTTTTTTTTGACTCTGAAACAATGGAAAAAAGTTTGTGACTATTGCCGTTACTGTACAAATGCATTCTACTGGATAAACCTAATTATTTTAGCAGTAATAGAAATAATACAGAGTGTTAAAAAGTTACGCCAAATTAGGGTAATATTTTTTGTCATGGCAACGTTGAAAAGGTAAGTAACTGTTAAAAACAGCAGTTGTTAAATGTTAAAATGCCATTTCATCGTAATTTAATACTGTTAAAAGGTGTCGGTCGATAAATGTTTTAAGTAGCATTTCTTTTTAACTTCTGTTAATTTTGCATTACTTTTTAACACCCTGTATTATAGTAGTATACGATGACTGTTTTTCTACAAATCTCCAAGCTTTCTTAATTGATTTTCTTCTATATCCGTCCTGCAAATTACTTTCAACCAGCCGCATTTGTAGCTTCAACTTTTCATGGTTGGTTTGTTGACTGTCAAAACATTTAAAGAAAAAATTCTATCAATCATCCTGTTTTGAACAGATTATAAAGAAATGGAGAATTATGTATTCACTGAAAATTGTCTTCACAATTCACCCATAGTCCTCATTTTCTTTTGTGTGCATGTTCATCAACATTCCATATATTTTTTAAATTATTATTCGAAAATTAGTTTGCTGTGAATAATTGTGGCAATCCGGTTATTGGATTCGGGTGAAATATAATTTTTTGTGTCGACATTTTGTCTTTGTTTATGGAAGTAAATGTTTTTAAATGGAATATTTCATTTGCCAAAAATCGGGGCATAAATAGACTTAGCCCAACCTCGATCGTGAAGTGGATTAATTTTGTGACACAGGATTTCAGTTGGCACATTTGTTCTATGTTTTCATAAACTATTAAATACAAAAGTCAATTACTTCAAATTTCAAGCATTGACGATACTATGTTATATATTTTAAATTTGCCACTTGTTTTTCAACCTGTTTTTATATCTTGCATGTGCTAGAAATGTAGGATTATTTCAAATGCATGAGATTAGCAAATAGTAATCACAAAATTAAAATTAACTGTTTTATTATACCTTATTTTATTATATATGGTGGTCTCTCATTTCTTTACCTCAAAAATAAATGGATAGGAATCGTTGGTCTCCGTGCAAGGTGTCAGAGTTGTAAGTAGTACTAGTGTAGTTTAGTAGCATTGTCATAGATTAGATTCACATATTATCATTTGCAGTGCAAAATATTCAACAAGGCATCCAGTTGTAGTTTACGAAAGCCAGGGAAATGGCACTATCGCAAGGTTTTGCGTCGCTTGGTTTATTAATCGAAGAGTTTTTGGCGTTTGGGCCTACGCAGCGTTTCAGAGTTAGGTGGTTTATAGTTATAGCGAAGGACATTGAGGTCGGCAACGCTCTAATTTTATGACGTCAGTGATTACGACATGATTGCGTCAACTTTTGTTATAATCCGTATCGATATTGGACCGTAGATACCAAGATATATCTTATTTATGGGCATTACAAAGTCGTCTGTTCATTGTTCGCGTGAAACGGTTTTATCGATTGGATTGCGCAAGAGTTATCGTCATGCGTCGACGACGCATTGACTTGTCTCAAATGGCGTCGCTGAAAGCGGTCGTTCAGTTGCGAGGTGGCTTGTGGCGGGACAGGTTGTCCGTCTTCAGACAACAATGTAAGGACGAGTCCGGTTCGACGTCGTAATGCTATAACAGGCGATGAAATGAATGGGTTAGACTAATTACAGAATCGGAAAACGAACAAAATAACGTGCTAAATGGAGGAAATTTAAATCTAAAGGTGTTAGGTACCATAAGTCTCTAATGATGTTAATTTATTAGACACACACATATTGACATAAACCACGGATAGCCTATATGGTAAAATTACATTTTAGCAATTACAATAGAGATAAATATAAAAATCCTATCCTAATCTCAGAATGTTACAAGTATAAATTTATTTTGACTCCATAATCAGCAGTAGACGATAAAATATTACATTAGACAAAGACAAAAAAAGAAAATAAGTAATAACATACTGACATAAGGTTATTTAGTTCAGTAGTTAAAACGAAAAGTTATGATAACAGACTAATTTTCTTATTACTGTAGTACCGGTAACGGAGTTTAAATTTTGAGCTTGTTGGATTGTATGTTCAGCAGATTTTAAACCATAAATTGAAAAAGCAATAATTGGGTTAGCCCAATATTTAAAATTTCAATAATATTTCAAATCAAATAGCCATGCATACCATAAAATTTCAGTATTTATTTGCCTATTAAGTTCTGTAATGAAATAGTTAAAATCTGGAGGAATTTTCTAAAGTGGAGTCAAAACCTTGTTATTTTAGCATTACAATATTATTGTTTTAATGATAGTAGTAATACAGTAATATCGGAACTAACTTGTCCAAATTAATGATTCGATACACAGATTACGGTACTGAAAATACATAATTGACTAGGTAGTGTGGCCACAGAGTAGTGAATTTAAATATAGTTATATGTATCGTACTTGGGCTTTCATAAATAATTTAAAAGCTTCTATTTGTTTTCATAACTCATCCCAACATTCTGTCATTGGATTTTTGTGTTATGATGAAGACGAATCCTGCCAATGTATGGCTGTAAGGTGCTGATGTAGATAAACCAACCTCTTTAAAATTAATTGACTCGATAATTTTAAAACTTTTTCAGAAGATGTAATTTTCAAGAATGTGAAAGCAACAACGCCATCAATATATTTTTGTAATAATATTTAAGTTCACCCAAACTATCACTGTAACTTTATATCAACGATGAATATTTTTGAAAAATATGGAAAATTTTGTGCGAACTATTCTTTGGAAGTCATGGTTTGTTTTGTAACGATGTTTGTCGGAGCTGTATCACTTAATTTACGAAGTCCTTTCGAATTCTGCAAGTGGTCGTTCAACTGTGAAGCAAATGAAGAAGAACTCTCGTCACATGCAAGCAGTGATGCTGTGTTGTTATCAATTTTAAGATGTGCGACGATCCTATACTTTTTCGTCAAATTACGAAAAATTAGTAGCCTCGGATCTGGATATCTTGTAGCAGGAGTATGCATGTGCGTCACATTTGGAGCTATTGTTTTTGCCGCAACGCTGATTCAACTTTTGCATAAAGATTGGAATATTGTTGGAGAATCGTTGCCGATATTTCTACTTTTAATAGATTTGTCTCGAATTGTTATTCTTATTCAACATACTTTAACAGCCAGTACAGTTCTGGCTGTTCAGGATCGAATTGCCGAAGCTATGCAAAAAATTGGACCTGTCGTGACTTTTGACACAATAATAGAAATTTTGGTCATCATTACAAGCAGTACAATGAAGGTGCGCCAGCTACAAGACATCTTTTGCTTCGCCAGTCTTTCGGTATTATTAAATTACATTATATTCACAACCTTCGTTCCTGCTTGTTTAGCAATCTTTTTGACGATGACACGAAAGCAATCTATTTCAACAATTCCAGAATGGTATAATGAAAAATTTTCAACTGTTCTTGAAAAGGAATGGAATAAGGAAATGAACCCATTAACAAATAAAATTAAAATTCTCTTATGTACTGTTTTACTGGCAGCAAATGGTGCACGAATCTTATTTGGTGATAATTTTCCCCATAATGAACATATGCAGTCATCTTTCGATTCGGTTTTAACTTTGACACCACAGCAGTTTTTCACTGTAACAATTCTAATGCTGCTTTTCGGAAAGTTCCTTATGCAAGAAGGTAAATTTCAAAATGAAAAAGTTCAGTCAATACCCCAAGCATTGCTTCATCAAGAGCTTCGTCGCGAAAGCTCGTCTGTATCTCTGCTCTATCAAGAACCAAAAAAGTCCGCTGCACCAAGACCTTCTGCAATTTGTATGGAGTTATTAAAGGAAGATTCTAACTTGCTTACTGACCACGAAATCATTTCTCTCGTCGACCTTGGAAAAATTCAAGTTCATCGTTTGGAAACTACTTTGAAAGATCCAAATCGAGGAGTTTATATAAGAAGGTAATCTATTTGAGCATTATATGTAATTTTACTTTATGCTCCTATAATATTTTTTGTTGCTTGTAATATTAATATTTTTGAAAAGCATCTAAATTTTGAAAATTTTCGAATACCCTGATTATGAATATCTAAATTTTTAGTAATGATATTTGGAAATACGTTTTTTTTATTATTTTATGGATCTGATTGAAACTGCAATCAATTGTTAGTCTGTGTTTGGGTCTGCCCGAAAATGTTCATTATTATACAGAATAGCTACTAGAACAAAAATTAGAGTAAAAATTGAATCAAATTAAGTGTCATAAAAAATGTAGGTCAGAATTTTTACTCAAATATTTTAGATACCGTAGGTTACCATTTACTCGCTTGTTCTTTTTATGGTCTGAAATTTGCCAACATACCCGGGTCGGAATCTGAAGTGTAACAGTAAAATTATAGTGAATATTGCATGAGTTGAAGCTCTTTGCCAAACCTATATGCATTTTTATATTCTCAGAAAACTACTCAACAAAAAATTGTCAACCGAAGACCAACAAGTTGCGTTAACGCAGGTTCCTTTCGCTCATTTTAACTTCAGTAAAGCAACTGCAGCCTGCTGTGAAAATACTGTTGGGTATGTTCCCATGCCTGTGGGAGTTGTTGGTCCACTGCTATTAAATGGAGAGGAATATTATGTACCTATGGCTACCACAGAAGGAACATTACTTGCAAGCACAAATAGAGGAATGAAGGTGTGTTAATTGTTTTCATTCTATCGTTGAATAATTTACTTAGCGATGTGTTATCAATTGGATTCTTAAGATGTGATATGTTTTGTTTTTGCATATTGTCTTGAGTTTTTTTGAATTTCTTAATATACTTTTGGTTCACATGATTTCGACTTGACCTAAATTGTCTGACCTATAAATGACAGCAATTCTTCAACAGATTTATTTGATTTGCCTAAATCAATCTAATGTGAAAAAGACTATGGTTGAAATTGTTTCCATTCATATAATTTCATATTCAAGTTTATTTTTAATATATAAATTTGTATTTTGAGCAATAAATTGTATGCATTGAATAATATTGCGTGTCAAATTTTTCAAAATTGAATCTGTAGATGTGACATTATTTATAATGCCTATGCCTAGTGAGAACTCAATTCTTCAATACCTTTTATTTCCAAATAAATCAGACTGCGTTATGTCGCATTAAAATTACCTTAAAATATTTTTTTGTCTGAACACATTTCAAAGAACTGTGAGACTAAGTCTACTACACGAGCTCTTTAATAAATTAGTTGGCATTGCACAGTCTGTTTTAAGTAGTCATGCACATCTGTTGCCATCTTGTTCACAATTGATTTTTTATCATCTCCCCATTTTATTATGGCTATAAGAAGATAGTATTGATTGTACTATAACCTATATAAGGTACCAGGCAGATATCAACTTGCATTTTGGTGTATTATCATTACCAGTGCATTAAATGATAACTTTCTGTATTTGGTTGGGTACATCTTGAACCAAGCAATTACAGTAATACTTTGTTAGTCAAGTGACTCGATACTCAAACAATTCGGTAGTCAACCAAAAAGTTATAGTCAAAAATGCTACGGTACTATAACGGAAATTTTGTGCTCTGATATTCGATCGCACCGCTGAGTGAGATCAAACGTAACTGATACAAAATTTTTCATAATTTTCATAAACTAATTACCATTGTTTCTTGTGTCAAAAAAGTTTCGTACTCTAACAAATCGGTAGTCGAACACCAATCCTGAACAAATTATATTTGACTACCGAGTATCACCACTGCACTACAGTTGTGTCCATATTGGCAATGCATTTGGCTCACTATATTTAGGTGTGGATATGACATTGTAAAATTACTATTGAGAATTATGAATCATGATATTCAACTAGTTATATATTTGCAAATTATAGGCTGTTCTTAAGTCCGGGGGTGTAGAGGCAACTGTTTACAGTGATGGTATGACAAGAGCACCTGTTGTGGAGTTTCCAACTTCCAGAGAAGCTTGTGAAATGGCAAGGTATATGTGCGGAATAGGGAATAAACTATATTTTATAAGCTTGCTTATAATTACAAATTTAACACGTTTTATGCTTGTCTGAAGAGCAAAAATTTGTGTTAGTGTAATGTGAAAGGGATGCTTTTTAATCGCTTAGGAAATGTTGGATATGTCTGAATATTCTCAATGAAACGTTATCCTCTGTACTGCATGGACCTGAGTTTCTGAATTGAAAAATTATGAATTGCTGAAAGCAAATTATGTTTGGTTGTATTATTGTATAGTTGTCAAAATATGAATTGTGTGCAAATTACATCTTGTTGCAAAAATCATGAGAAATAACTGATATTCAAGTCACAGGTTTTATAAATACATTATATTTACTTCAGATTTCTCAGTAGCGCATGTCGCAATGCTCTCTACATTTTCTTGAATTAAAATTTTTTGGCAATTTTTCATTTTGACATTTTTAAAATGATGAATGAGTGTTCTCCATTGATTTTTATTGTTCTCTTTGACCCTACTTAACTTATAACATGACTTTGCTAAAATTATACTCTAAAATTATACAAATTTTTGACAGTTGGCTGCAAGATCAATTCAACTTTGAACTGGTGAAAGATAAGTTTGATGAAACAAGTCGATATGCAAGATTGGAATCATTGTTTCCTATTGTCTGTGGAAGATTGCTTTATATTAGATTCAAAGCATCAACAGGGGATGCAATGGGAATGAATATGGTCTCCAAAGGAGCAGAGCATGCCCTTCGGTAAGATATTTATGAAATAATAATCGGGTTTCTGAAATATTTCTAGTTTCAAATTGGTTTCTCACAAGTTTGTGTCAACCAAACTATTACACATGTAAACCTACATAAGCTTGCGACATTGCTTTAAGAAAACTTATTTGAAAGATTTTCCACAATAATATGTTTCAACGTCTGTTATATACATTAGGAATTACTTTTCAGTAAATAATTCGTGGGGTTGATTTAAAATATTTAAATTAGTATAAATTGCAGAATATATTAAGTCAGAATTTCTATTTATTCCATGAAAAGAGAGCGATGGCATAATTTATGCAAATGATATCCGTCATCAATCTCTAAGTTCAAGAGCTCGCTCTTGTAATACTGGGAATAAGGTGTTTTAGAATGTAGGTCATTGCCCACTCATTGTTTCATAAGAAGATGATTTATAGACTGTAGTCCATACTTGAAGAGACTTCGTTCACATTTTTCAAGTAGTTCTTAATCATTACTGCCTTCAGAGAATTTTATGGTAAAACCGGAAAAACAATCTCTCACTATGTGAAAGGTTCATGAAGATATATATGAAGATTTCAATAAACATTAAGATTAATTGACGCTTGATGCAGAATGTCGCTGCTCAAGTGCAATACAATTAAATTGTCACATTTGTTTCCTGTTTATACACTAATTTACGTCATTCACTTGCCAACCTAATTAATCTTCAGCTTTTTATCTATATGAACTGTGTTTCTGCAATTTGTCAGCTGTAATACAGACCTGCATTTTCTCAATGAACATTTCAACATGGATAAGAGACAAGTTTGGTAAATCAGTGTTCAGCAAACTTTATTCCTACTGGGCCAAATGAACACATTTACGGTAGCATGTGGGCTGCATCAATTCAAGCCTATAAAAAATCGAAACATGAAACTTCAGATTATGGCGCACTGCCAACTCACGATACAACTGATGTCACTTGGGTACTCTAATTACTACAAATGAAATGCCCTACAACAGCTATTGTTACTTCCGACATACATTCGTGCGCAGATAATATTAGATTTATAAGCAGCTAAGGGCCACAAAAAACTTATTCACAGGTTGCAGTTTTGCCAAAATTGGTTGAAATGCATAAAATGATTGTATATTCAGCAACCGTGGAATGGAATTTAAATGAAGAGATCTGCTTGCCAATATGAATATTGTCTGAATAATGTCAATTTCTGATTTTACAGGTGGCTACGAGATCTTCATCCAAACATGAAAATAATTAGTTTGAGTGGAAATGTTTGTACTGACAAGAAATCATCTTCTATCAACTGGGTTTTAGGAAGAGGAAAATCTGTTGTTGCTGAAGCAAGAATTCCTGCATCAGTTGTTCATTCAGTTCTAAAAACAAACATTAACGATCTTGTTCACTTAAACACAAGCAAGAACCTTATTGGCTCAGCAATGGCCGGTAGCATCGGTGGATTTAACGCACATGCTGCAAATGCAGTGACTGCAATTTATATAGCTACTGGGCAAGATCCAGCACAAAACGTTGAAGGCAGTAATTGTATGACAATTTTAGAAAAAATTCCTCCATCTGAAGAATGTGAAGCAACCTTATTAATGACTTGCACCATGCCTTGTATTGAAGTGGCTACATGTGGTGGCGGAACAGCACTAGATGCACAGCGAGCTTGTTTAAATTTACTAGGGGTTGGCGGTAGCAGTTCACAAACTTCGAAGGCTGGCCATAATGCAAGAAAGTTAGCGCAAATCGTCTGTGCCACTGTGCTTGCAAGTGAACTGTCGCTGTTATCAGCTCTAAGTGCAGGCCATTTAGTACAAAGCCACATGAAACATAACAGACTTCCAACACAAAAGCAGAAATCAGAGCATAGTGTTTTGTTTAACTTATAGAATTTATATTTGTCTATCAATTATGACACTTTATGCATGGTGTGTTCTCAATATGCGACCAAAATAAATTGAATATGATCTGTTGTCTTTAAATATTACAGCATTTAAATTGTCCACCTGTAAAATATGGTTCATTGCCACATGCCAGCGTTGATTCTCGTATGGTAATGATGTTAATGCTTGAAAGGTTGAACTGGTTTTTGTAGGTAATATAAATTTGTTAGAAGAATCGTTTTTAAGTTTCAACACGGCAGTTTGGGCTGTATTTAGAGAAGTGTTAAGATTCTTAACTGCCATTTTTAACTCAAAGGAAAAACACTTCAAGGTTCAGTAAAAAGCAATGCTGGGCGCATCAAGAGCAGTTTGGATCATCTTGACTGAGTCTTAAAAATTGGCGGACGTCAAGCGACAGAGTTGGAAACACGCCACTTCTCGGGTATAAACAATCAAAGCCGGCATTGTTATGCAAGCGCGCCGCTACTCCGATCATATTCGAAATCGTGAGATTTAATGTTTTTGCACTAGTTTCAATGAAATCGAAACTGGTGTGTCCTTCGCGTGCCCGCTAAAATTCGTCTCTCGACCCCCCCAGTTTGGGAAACCCTGATTTAGATATCTCAGTTTTCAGACTGAATCACGCTTAAAACAATATCGGTATACATTCTCACATTCATTAGTTTATATTAGCAACCTATTAATAACCCCATTACTTTTTACTAGCAGTTTATGAAACTGAAGTTTCTTTTTTGATTCTCATTTAGAACCCAAAAAACAATTCCTTCATTTATGAATGGTGCAAAAATTCTCGCAAAAAAGATATTGCTATTTACTGTAAATTTCAAATAAATTGGAGCAGATTTTGTAGAAAAATGTAATTTCAAAAAGTACAACAGAGGAAGATCTATTGATACTAAATGGATTGTTTGTCTAGCCTACAATGGAAATATTCAATAATGGTAGATATGACTAAATAAATTGCCATACAGATATTTTGGACGATTTTACAAAACTGAACCTGAGTAAAATATTTTTCTGCAGTCAGTTTATACACGCAATACCCAATTCTAATAAAAAATAAATATTGATAATGAAGGGTGGGTTTTTAAGGTATATGAACTACTAAATACATATTTGCCATCTCATATGCAAAAATACTGTAGCTTGTTTTTACTCAAGTAAATAAGATTCTTCATATTTTTGGGCTCCACAATAATGAAAGTGTCTCATTAAATTTAACTGTTTCACAATATTATTTTGATTTGTAGTTCATCTTGTGAAATAGGTATGTGGCAAAGTTTGCGCCGGGCCTCCAGATTCATGCTTGCGGCCCTCGTGGTAATTTGAGTTGTGCAGGCCTGTTTTAAACCATCAGTTTGATACAAAACATTCCACTACCTGTAATTTAAAAGTATCTGTAAAAAAGTTTAGCCTAGTCCTAGTATATCACAACTATTTTAACTCATTTTGATTACTGCAATTAAACTGAAAATCCTGAACAGGCAAAATGGCCATTGAGTTGTTGGGCTCGTATTTAAGTTTCCGAAACACCAATTAAAACTAACAAATCGCATGCCAAGGGCAAAAATGTAGTGTTTAAAACCATACTATGTCTTTAGTGACAAAGGTGTTGGAACGGCTGGTAAAACGTTTACTATCGCGTCACTTACCGGTATTGCCGAAGTTAACAAAGAAATCGATGTTTGAGAAAAATTCCCATACCACGTTTTTCGTCCAAAATCAACAAATTAATTATCACTATACACGACCCAGACCAGTAAATGCGTTGGGTCTGTTGTTTCAACGAATTCAAAAAAATCGACTCCACCTAGCACTCCTTTCGCCCCCCCCCCCCCCCCCCCCTCATGGGCGTGTTGAAGGAGTGAACCTGTAGTAGCAGGCTAGCAGCTGTACCAGAGGAAAGCAAGTTGTTAATCGTGATTGTTTTTATTTCCGGTGAGTTTATCGGGTTTGTAAGCACGCATATTAAATCCAAATCATTCACTGGAACACATTGCTTTTATTTTTGTGGAACAGACGGATGGCTAGCTGCGTCCTTGATTTTGTCTACTGTGGCACAACGAGTTCACTCGATTGTAAATAATGACAAAATCATACGATATTTTTGCTCTGCATCAACGGCTGGATTTGATTGATGGATGTGCTAAACTTCTAAACGCTGAATGGAAAAGGTCTTATGATATGAGGTACGGTAGATAGATACTTTACAGCTGTAAAAAATTGGAGAATTTGTGTAATGCCAAAAGTCTGAAACTGGTGGCCACCACTCATTTTTTCCTAGGCTAGCTCACCTTTTCACAACAAAGATGAAAACACTCTTGATAATTCAGTCACTCATTCCCATTCTATGATTCAGTTTTTATGTTGAAATTGTTACTATATCGAACTGATTGAGATTTTTAACTTCAAAATCTTGAACCTTCTGACCTTACATAATTTGTTACATACTGGGATCATAACTCAAAAGTATTTCATTTTGATATGAAGTTTTAAACTTAATCAGGGTTTCAAAACTCAAACGATCCAATAAAGATTTTCCTTACCATATTGCTTTGACTGAAACAGTGGACGAAAATGAAAAATTAGTTGGACATCTCAGACTGACTAAAGTGCTGGGGGAACCTGACTCATTGTATATGTCATCAGGTATGTGCCATTTTACTGTCCTAGCTATTACACATCTCTGGTTCAAATCATATGCTCCCCACCTTACCCAGGTATAATAATTGAGTATACAACGTAAATTGAGTATACAACGTCACACTGGAAAGATTTTGCTCCGTCCAAATAATAGTACATCTTGCTAGATGCTGCTTGTATGGGGCCTTTTGCTGAGTGAAAGTCATATGAAAAAGTGTGCCAACCCTAACAAACTCTTTATATTACTCAACAGTCATTATCACAGAGTGTTCGAGAGGAATGGGTTTAGGAAGAAAACTGTTGAATTTAACTGAAGAGCTCATGAAAACACGTGGGTTCGAGTGTTTTTATCTCAGAACTGACTCACCAGAGTTCTATACTAAATGTGGGTATGACTTTTGTGATCCCATACAAGAGGTTTTAAGTACAGCCATGGAGAATAAAATGATGCTGGTAAGTTCGGGTCTAAATAAGTTATACCTATTCAAGTTTGAATGGTTGATAAAGTTAAAAATTTCTTTTATAGTTACAGAGTGCTATGCGTGGAGATAGATCTGATTCGATAGATTCCGATCCTGCTGATATTTTAAACAATTCGGAGACTAAAGATTTGGAAGTTGAACCGCCTTTGGCTGACAAAAAGTTGAGTGCAGAGGAATGCAATAATGACAAAGACTGGAATCCGAGTGAACAGCCGCCTATCGAAATTCCAATACCACCACCTCCTCCCCCGCCTCCACCCTGTGGAGCTTGCAAGCCGATGATATGTTACACTGACCCAGACAGCGATAATGAATGTGATTGTAACTTTTGGCTAAGAAAGCACTTATGATATCTATTTTTAATCATGCGTAAGATTATGTGCAATTTGAATATTCTAATTATATTGATCACAGTTGTCAAGTTGATTTGCATCCCTACACCTACATCCACACATTTGAAACAACTAAAAGATTAGAAGGAACTGAGATACACCACCGCCAGTATCAACTAATCGGCAAATCCCCATGTCAGACTTTTTTGACCACAACTTAGTTGAGCTAGCTCTAACTTTCAGACGTGGATTTATAGGACGATAATCGCTACTGTGGTGAATAATTATTTTTAAGCAACCGAAAGTCTCGTTTTTTCACTTCCAGTAACTTAAAGTCACCTGGTGATTTGAAATGTCTGTAAACCATTTCTTAGGAGCAAAACGCACACTACAGGTAGTTATGAGAATATGCAACGACACCAATCCAGTGTGAACAGAGCTTCAAACTTGTAGAACAGCATGGCAAGCTTGTCTAGGTTCACAATCTTATTAGATTTTATAGTTTTGAACATTCTCAGGTACAGAGTACTGACTAAAATATCTTCATCTAAACCACAATACCATTTAAAAATCGTAAAAAGTTGTATATTGTTAAGTTACAAGACCCTTTCGAGTACAATTGCACTAGCAAACTACAATGATTGGGTTCTTTATAAAAAAAAAAATTATAAGTTATTTCACTACTGGATTTCATGGTCACGTAGTAATATAATAAAGATGATTGTTATAAATAGTTGGATCAGTTAGGGAATTTGCAAAAATAAAAAAAAAAAGAAGACCACACACGAATGCTGCGCATATTTTCACTTTTTCTTCATGGTGAAATGCCGCTGAAAAGTCTGGGAATCCCATCATGTTGCAGAATGCATGACATATTACAGCACTCAGAAGATGCCCAGTTCGCAAGAATAGCCATGATGAAAGCGCACCAAACAAAGATGTATAAAAGGTTTGAAAAACTGTTGATATCACCACAGTACTGAATGGATACTGCTCCTTATAATATTTTTCCCATGCATGATGAATATGAGCTGTAGAACAAAATCATAGTTTGTCTTTACTGTCTAAACAGGTTCAGAAATGGAGTTAGCTAATTTACAGTTGCCAACTTCCAACATGACTCATCTCCTTTAGTCTATCGTATCAAACCTCACAGATGTCTGAATTTGGGCCATTATCTTGCCTAGTTCATGAAAAAGTTCAACATAAACTTACCAACTCCGAAAAAACTTGGTGCAAGTATGATTGATATTGATGGTCCAAAGACTGGTAGTAACAGAGGCAACATACAACCTCTAAAAACAAGTTCCTCTGAGAATGGAGCCTGAAAAGAGTTTTTAGAAGTTAGTATCGTGTACGTAGTCTCTCTATTCGCCTGGTTACCCTTAAAGAATATGAAAAAGTTATTGCAACAGATCAAGTGTATCATGCTGATGGAGTAAAAGATTTGATGATACATATAATGAACATTCATACTTTTATACACAGTTTCTAAATATATTCACAATCAATCTTGCCAATAGACTTAATTTATACAAAAGACATTTTTTCTGGCGGAATTTGGTTGCTTATTCATCTTGAACCAAGTCCATTCCCTACCCTTGCCATCTAAATAGTACAGGTTGAAAATCTGATAATTTGGCATGACAAAGAAAATAAACATATCTTACAACAACATAATTTCTCCAACATCTCAAATCATAGAAATATTTTTTCCAGTTATTAGGATGTAGATCTGAAAAGTCACTTAGTAACATCAAATATAATGGTCCTAGAAATAGGATCAGGAACAGAGTGAGAGGGAATATAGACGCTGCCAAAATACCATCTGTTCGTATGCCCAGCCACTGGAGCAAAGTGGCTGAGTTTTGGAAGTCTTGTGTGCTGCCCTCAGACACAAAATACAACAAAACCACACTGACAATGCATGTAAATACCACTCTTCGAAATCTTTCTTTGATTGTTCGAGGATGATCTCTAAAAGTTAAAATAGGGAAAAGTAATGAATAAAAGGGAGGTTCAGAAACATGACATTAGCTTAAAATTTGAGTTTCATAATATTAGGCGGAAAATACCGTTATAGTCTACTAATGTTATAACAAACTGCACAGGTAACGTAATATTAGGATGCCTTAAAAGTATGTTACTGCTGTATTACCTACCTGGGCAATTTGCTTGTCCAAATGTACAGACTTCCCACATACAACACAGCTAAGGATAAGCATGTCAAAAGGGATGATTCTGCTGTCAGTGATTGGAAGGTGATATGTTTGGCCATGGCTTTTATATACAACAAGCCTTAACCCAGCTTTAAAAATATCAAAATCAGTACCGGTACAGCTGTGACAAATCTTCAAAACCCAAGCTGTTGCTGCACTTCGCTACCCTTACAGGTACCTGACTACAAATTATCATCAAGTTATCAAGGACCCAACAGGATGATATATTTACATTATTTGCATATCTTGCACTACAAGTGTTTCTCCGACCCTTGACCCCAGAGAAATTCTTCATATGGTATCAAAGTTCAGGGGTCCGCATTGAAGTACGGGGTCGCGACCCAAATTTGGATCGCGAAAGCTTCCACACTGGGTCGTAAAACAATTTGAATTTTTACTATAAATATGGGCATCGCATCTGTGTAGCGTATTTATGTACTACAACATTACAAACCTCTAATTATAGTTGTTTCCCCGAGCGTCGACTTCATTATTTACTGTCGTAATATTGAATAATATATGTCGCCAATCAATTTACGTGCAAAATTTGACGTAACAGTAAACATTTAAGCAGCTGCCAGACAGATTTTCATGATTGTGAATATTACATCGTTTTTGCGTGCTATTTTTTAGTTGTATTTTGGTGAATATAAGTCAAAATCAAACCGGTACATTTGAATGAAAGTTTGTTGAATGTTTTAAATTTAAACGATGGTTTGAAACATATAAATTGGTTGATAGGCGCCGACTCGTAAAACCACGATGAAATAAGTACCAATAATTTTGGATAGGATTTTAGGGATAGGATTGGTTGATAGGATAGGATTGGTTGATAGGCGCCGACTCGTAAAACCACGATGAAATAAGTACCAATAATTTTGCACAGGTGGAGTATATAGAAAGAATTTTTCGCGGATCGAAACTCAGGGAAACGTTTATTACGTAGTTGTTTGCATTGTTACTATCCTATGCACCTTTCCCCGACCATCGACTTCCTTGTTTACCTCGTGACATTGGCCAATCAGCAAGATGTAAAAAGTGACGTAACAATGCCCCCTTTTCGCATCCGCTCAGACAGATTTTCAAGCGTGGTTGTAAACATTACCTCTTTTTCGCGTTTTCGAACTCTTTTCGTTAGTTTTCAGTTGTGTTTCGGAAACTTAAATAAAAATCAGATAATTCAATGATTACTCTGTCTTACTGGGAGTTTTAATTTAATTGCAGTAATGAAAATTAGTGTAGAAGACTATCCTGAACTTCTTTACCGGCACTTTTAAAAAACAGATTGTTGTATGCGATGAATCATAATGATGGTTTGAAACACATACCCCATTTTGCAGGCGCCAACTCGGTAAAGCATAGGAAGAATTTTCCGGGGGTTAAAGGTCCATGGAATTTATTTCTCCGTTTGGTTTTATGTTTTCGATTCGGAGCGAGCAGAGAGATGCGGTGCAGTAAGTTTTGGTGTTGGACGCACAGTACAAGCAATTTTTCTGCCAGAATATCTTCAGTCATGTTTTCTTGATTTTGCGTTTCCACAAATAAGTTGTATATCAATTAACTTGAATGTCATTATGTATTCCGATGAACTTTAATTTAGTTGCAATAATCAAAAATTAGCCCAGAACAGCCGCGATAGACCATGCAAAAATTAGGTATCAATAGTGTCGTGTAAGCGGCACGGACTAAAAGTAGGCACTTCGGAAAAAAGTAACAATTTAACCTAATGATAATATTAAAACATACTATGGAGGCTCGGGCGTTCGACCACCACATATGCTAGGCACTTCGAAAGAGAGAGAGAGATATTTATTTGTCAACAAGTTTACCGTGTTTCCCCGAAAATGAGACCTAGCCTGTAAATAAGACCACTGTGAATCCAGCGGAATTTCAGCGGAAAAATATTCTGCAGTTTTCAACCGGTTCCCATGCGGAAAATAATCTCTTATTACAATATTTATAAGGGATAAATGGATCCTATTTGAAATAGTATGTTCCGAAGGCAACAACTCAGACCAAAATATAAGTTTAGGGACATTTAGCTGGTAGTGGTAATTACAACATACATAACTGTATATCACATAAAACAGAAAAACTAAAACGTATTAGAATATATTTGCAGAATGAAAAAAAAAATACAAAAAAAAATAGGATGCAGTTGATGGATATTTTTTTCAATGTTACATGCAAACTCCAGTGTTCGAGACCAAATGCGAATATGATCCGCAAAGTTCCGACAATTTTTAACAGTAATTTTGAATAGTACCAATAGTGATAAGTATTATATATAAAAGTTGAAGGGAACAAAGCGGGACTTTATGATTTATGGGGTTTCAAATACAGGCGAAAAACAAGATTTTCTGAAATTTGATGCGTACTCGGTATATCGAGGCCGAATTCGAATATGTAGCTTTATATGCCGACAACTTTTGACAACGATTTCGATCACATGTACAAGTCAAGTGTCTAACACCAAAGTATGATTAACAGCGGAACAAAACTTAACAAAATATGGCCCTTCAAAAATTGACGAAAAATCAGATTTTGCTATATTTCGTACGAACTCAATGATTCGATGCCGAATTCGAATATGATCCGCAAAGTGCCGACAACTTTTAACAGTAATTTTGAATAGTACGGGACTTTATGATTATTGGGGCTTCAAATACAGGCCAAAAACAAGAATTTCTGAAATTTGATGCGTACTCGACATATCGATGCCGAATTCGAATATGATCCGCAAAGTGCCGACAATTTTTAACAGTAATTTTGAATAGTACCAATAGTGATAAGTATTATATATAAAAGTTGAAGGGAACAAAGCGGGACTTTATGATTTATGGGTCTTCAAATACAGGCCAAAGACAAGATTTTCTGAAATTTGATGCATACTCGATATATCGAGGCCGAATTCGAATATGTTGCTTTATATGCCGACAACTTTTGACAACGGTTTCGATCACATGTACAAGTCAAGTGTCTAACACCAAAATATGATCAACATCAGAACAAAACTTAACAAAATATGAACCTTCAAAAATTGACAAAAATCAGAATTTGCTATATTTCGCGCGAACTCAATGATTCGATGCCGAATTCGATTATGATCCGCAAAGAGCCGACAACTTTTAACAGTAATTTTGAATAGTACCAATAGTGAAAAGTTTTATATATAAAAGTTGAAGGGAACAAAGCGGGACTTTATGATTTATGGGGCTTCAAATACCGGCCAAAAACAAGATTTTCAGAAATTTGATGCGAACTCGATATATCGAGGCCAAATTTGAACATGTTGCTTAATTTGCCGACAACTTTTGACAACGATTTCGATCACATGTACAAGTCAAGTGTCTAACACCAAAGTATGATCAACAGCGGAACAAAACTTAAAAGAATATGTACTTTCAAAAATTGACAAAAAATCAGATTTTGCTGTATTTCGAGCAAACTCAATGATTCGATGCCGAATTCGAATATGATCCGCAAAGTGCCGACAACTTTTAACAGTAATTTTGAAAAGTACCAATAGTGAAAAGTATTATATATAAAAGTTGAAGGGAACAAAGCGGGACTTTATGATTTATGGGGCTTCAAATACCGGCCAAAAACAAGATTTTCTGAAATTTGATGCGAACTCGATACATCGAGGCCAAATTCGAACATGTTGCTTCATTTGCCGACAACTTTTGACAACGATTTAGATGACATGTACAAGTCAAGTGTCTAACACCAAAGTATGATAAACAGCGGAACATAACTTAACAAAATATTGCCCTTCAAAAATTGACGAAAAATCAGATTTTGCTGTATTTCAAGCGAACTCAATGATTCGATGCCGAATTCGAATATGATCCACAAAATGCCGACAGCTTTTAACAGTAATTTTGAATAGTTCCAATAGTGAAAAGTATTATATATAAAAGTTGAAGGGAACAAAGCGGGACTTTATGATTTATGGGGCTTCAAATACAGGCCAAAAACAAGATTTTCTGAAATATGATGCGTACTCGTTATATCGAGGCCGAATTCGAATATGTTGCTTTATATACCGACAACTTTTGACAAAGATTTCGATCACATGTACAAGTCAAGTGTCTAACACCAAAGTATGATCAACATCGGAACAAAACTTAACAAAGTATGGCCCTTCAAAAATTGACGAAAAATCAGATTTTGCTGTATTTCGTGCGAACTCAATGATTCGATTCATACAGCGACTTTGAATTTTTATGTTGTTTTACTCGTCATGAACCTTCTAATACAAATGCGGAACAGAATTAGCAGAACAAATAGCGACATAGTATGCTTTTAAAATCCGCTTGAAAACCACAAATGTTCTTTCTTTCTACCTAATATACTAATATAATATAAAAAAATATATACTAGGAAGCTACTCATTCATATTTAAATAATTCAGATTCAGCTTCCGTGTAATTATCAATTATAAATCGATCCCAGACGAACATCACCGAGCCCACAGCTGATATTTTGAAATAACGGCTTAATCCGTTAACACTCTAGAATTATATATACATGCTATACGTTTGTCAAGTCAATTTAAAATTTTTTCCGCTGGTGATCACACTCTGGTGTTGACCACTTGAGTCATACATGTAAACGAAATCATTGTCAAAAGTTTTCGGAAAATAGAATAACATATTCGAACTTGGCGTCGAAGATTCGATTACGCACCAAATATGACAAAATTTGATTTTCAAACAACTTTTGAAGGCCATATTTTTTTGATTTTCATTCCGCTGGTGATCATACTTTGTTGGTGGACACTTTAGTTATACATGTTTACGAAATCGTTGTCAAAAGTTGTCGGAAAAAAGAATAACATATTCGAATTTGGCGTCGAATAATTGATATCGCACCAAATATGGCAAAATCTGATTTTTACCCATTTTTGAAGTCCCGTATTTTTTTAATTTTCATTCCGCTGGTAATCATACTTTGTTGGTGAACACTTTAGTTATACATGTCTACGAAATCGTTGTCAAAAGTTGTCGGAACAAAGAATGACATATTCGAATTCGGGGTCGAATAATCGTTATCGCACCAAATATGACAAAATCAGATTTTTATCAATTTTTGAAGGCCCATAATTATTCAATTTTAATTCCGCTGGTCATCATACTTTGTTGTTGGATACTTAGGTTATACGTGTAAACAAAATCATAGTCAAAAATTGTCGGAAAATAAAATAACATATTCGAATTCGGGGTCGAATAGTTGATATCGCAATAAATATGACAAAATCTGATTTTCATCAGTTTTAAAAAGCA